CACCTATTACATAGTATTATATTGCTCATATATAAATATATATTTTTCACTGTTTTTTGTCATGATAAATTTTGAAAACCTTGTGGGGGATTGTTGGAATTTTAAAAAGGTTTTAAAAATTTAACTGTTTTATTTATTTAATTATTTTGGCTGTTTATTTTATTTATTGTGGGGGTTATAAATATTTAATATTCAGGTTTTATTTATATATTGAATGCCTTAATTTTGTGGTTAGTGAACTTTTCTGGTTGGTGAAGGTTACATGTTATTGGATGCCTATAAAAGGTCACTCCTCCTTCACATTTGAAACAACAACAATACACCATCAGAATATCACATACCACAATCACCACCACAAACTAATTCTCTCCTTTTCTACCTTTATATATAGATATATATATTCTCTACTTTATATTATTATTTTGGCAATGGTTCTGTGACTTGGATACCTATATTCGTCTATAAACGTGCTCATAGCGAATCTTGAGTTTGTGTACAAGGGGTCGTATCTTGGAGTTTTGTAGACCGTCAGTACCTGCACGTAGAGAACAAAGGCTTTAGGACAATGTCTTTGACGGGCTTCACCGTACCAAACTCACCATCTTATTTATTATTTATTTTCCTTTTACTTACCTATTATTTGTTTTCTTCAATTTCATTATACCTTAAAAGATTTCCAATTTATTTATATGTTATTTATAATATAATGTTTTTGTATTTGGGTTTACGAAAAAAGAAAACTATTTTTTTTATACGCTTTCATATCAGATAAGCAAAAAGGATTATTACCAGCTTTTGAGCAAGTAGTTCCTAACAGTGACCACAGGTTCTGTGCAAGACATCTATTTACCAACTTCAAATTACAATTCAAAGGGAAAGCTTTGTCTGACAAATTCTAGGGCACTGCAAGAGCAACACTTGTTCCACACTTTGCAAGACAGATGCAAGAGCTGAAAAACCTTGATAAGGATGCTTATGATTAGCTGACTTGTTGTGAATTTTAGACAACCTGAAAAATGGAGATTATAAAGATTAGTCTAAACACAAATTATACTCGCAAGTGCACAAGGTCAATCGTAATATAGCATGGCAAATACGAGGTCATTCCCGCGAGGATTGAGTTCAACTTCCAATTAGTCTAACCTAATCTCCTTTACAAAATACTTTAACTACTCTAATTATATAAACAAGAAATTAAACACGTAGCATACTCACGTAAACACAAAAGGGGTTTTTGAAAGAATGATTTAATTAACAACGAAATTAAAAGACAAAATAAGTAGAAAGTAACGAAACACAAGGATGAGAAATTCAAATTGATAAAAGCACTAGGACAATGAATTCACCACTAGTAATCCGATCTAGCCTCTTACTCACCTACCTATTTACTAACCATTTGATGTCACCGCTTAGTTTTCCTTTTTCATGAATTACCTATGGTATTTAGGCTAACTCGTATATTCCTACATGCAATTCGCCTATGGTATTTAGGTCAAATATCAACACATAGAAACTCATTAAGATCAGTGAAAACCTTGAACAAGCATGTAAACCCTAGGAGTACGGTATTTACCCTAGACGAATTACAAATCCTAATCACATGAAGCAAGCCTCAAATTAAGTATGGTATTTACTCTAATTTGCATCCGATTACTCAATTAAAAGTCTAGATGGTGATCAAGCATCAAGATAATCAACCAAGTTATTAAGCACAGTGATTAAGAATCCAACATCAAACGGCAATCAATAGATAGGTAAAATAAGAAAACTAGATTATCATACTAGGGCTACATCATGCCCTAGCAAAAGAAAATTAGTTACACATAATCATAGAAATGACATAAACAAAAACATAAGGAAGAAACAATAAAACTTAGCCAATTGCGGTACTCTTCCGGCGTCTCCAATTTCTCCTCGTCTTTCCCCCCGTGCTTAAGGAGTTGTTTCTCATGCTTAAATAGGACACCCCACGTCTATTCCTACCCTAGCTGGGCTTTTACAGTAGCCCAACAATAAAGAAAAACCTAATTAAAACATAAATCCAAAATGGGTAAGTACTTGACTCCTCTTCCTACTTGGATTAGGATAACATGTCAGTTACTTTGCTTGCATGTTTGGGGTTGTTCCTCCTCCAAGAAAATTCGGGACAAATATGTAAATTGTAGATTTTTGTCTTATCTTTCCATCCATATATCGCACGCCTTGAGGAAAAATCAGGAAAGTCTTTAAATGGTCATTCTTCCACAGCAGCACAGTTTTGACGGGATTTCATCTTATGCTGACTTAACTTCAAAGACTGCTCTCATTGGCTGCTCCGAAAATTCTAGAAAAATTCCACAATCATCTTCAAGATCTCAGCTTTCATCTCCAATTGGTCTTGTGCTAAAACTTCACCAAAAAATCGTATTTTCGTTGAAAACAAATTACTTGCTCTGGAAAGCTGAAAATTGAGAAAATAAAGTAATAAGTCCTTTTAAAACCAAATTCTCCTACAAAAACTAAGTATAAAGAGTACATAAATATGTAATTTTATGGACTTATCATGACTGAAACAGGAAAACCTCCCAGACATTGGCCTTGATCACACTTCAGCACTCATGTGAAGTGTGATATGCTTTTAAACAATATGTGTGAGTCCTTCAACTCATTCATATTGGCATGCAGAGATAAGCCAATATTGACCATGCTTGAGATAGTTAGGTGTAAGTTGATGAGGAGGATACAAGGCAGAATGGACAAAATGAAGAATTGGACAAAGGCAATTTGCCCCAAGATTTTTAAGAAGGTAGAGATAAATAAGGCAAAAGCAGGTGGTTGTGTCACTATGTGGTCAAGGGGAGGAAAATTTCAAGTTGGCAGTGGTGGGATTTCACAGTATATTGTGCACTTGGATTTGAGGACCTATTCTTGCAGAGAATGGGATTTGACTGGTTGGCCTTGCGTTCATGGAGTGGCATCTATAAATTACAATGGGGGCTTGAACTTAATGGATTTTGTGGATGCATGTTATCACACTGAGACATATTTCAAGGCATATGAAAACCTCATACTACCTATGAATTGGATGGAGTTGTGGGATAGAACTAATATGCCACCATGTGTGCCTCCTTCATACTCCAAACAACCTGGAAGGCCAAGAAAAACTAGAAGGAAGGAAGCAGGTGAGTCAAGCAAGAAGGCCACGGTTGTTACAAAAGTTCAAGACTCACTGAGGTGTGGCCAATGTGGAAGAAAGGGCCACAACAAACAGTGCCGGATCCAGGAATTTTTCAGGAGAGGGGCAATAATGATTTTGGTAATGCCCAAGGACTGAATAAGAAACATATTATGAAAACCAGACCCTTAGTTAATTTTAAGATTGATTAGCACGATAAAATAAATGCAAAATTAATAATAAAAACATATTATCACAACAAAAAGATTAGATCAAAAAACAAGTAGTATCAATCAAGTCCTAATTAAACAAAAACTCTAATATCAAATGGTGATTTGAGAGCATTGTGCAAGGACTCTTCTTCGTTGTTTTTTTTTTTTTGGACAGATGGGTAAGCCTTTTGATATTACATTATTATAATGAAATATTTATTATAACAACCAAGTAATTGAAGCAAGACAATGAATCTTGAAACGGTGGCATCAAAACCGAAGAGTTTGATTTTTTTTTAAACACTTCATTGAAACACGCGTTTCATTAAAAGTAAATGAAGGACGACGCTGTTTGTGACAAATAAAAATAGGGTTGTCTTCTTCATTCGTGAACCAGAGCCTCCATCAGCAACACACCTCTGCAACTCCTCTGCAACACAGCACGTGCCTCAATCGTGTAACTTGCCATATGAATGGTGCCTTGATGCGATTTCAGGAGGCCTCAGATCGTCGCACTCCATGAGGTGCGCCTTGATAATACCTTTTAAAATGCTAGAGAGCAAAGGGGCAAATCCAGCACATCCATGGCTTTTTCCGGCGAGGGGAGGTGCAACTGCACCTCCTTGCACCTCTGTAGGTCCGCCATTGACAACAAAAGGACTTGTCACAGGAATCTCCATCCCAAAACAAAAATAAAAAAGAGGAAAGCAGAGATAAACATTTCAGGCTGAACATTTGTTAATTTTATAAATTTTTATGTTTTTGGAATATGATGCAACTAACAGTTTATTGTTTTTTGCCTCATCCCAACAAACTACTCAAACAAGTGAAGCTGGTCCCAATACAACAACAAGGCGAGCTAAGCCTGCAAGATCTGTGCAGAAAGGAAAATGGAAGAGAAATGCCACCACTGCAATTGGAAGTTCAAATGTACCACCAACTGATTCAGCTGCTCCATCCTCAACATCTGCCCCCCTGCAAGTGGATCTGCACCTACTGCATCAACTGAAGCTTCAACTGACAATTCTTATTTATTGAGGAAACGGCCTATGGTTATGGGAGCATCAGACTTGAGCAAGGAATGATGATGGTTTTGCACACTTGTCTTTCTTTTAATGGTGGGAAATCACAGAGTTCTATTAGCTGGTTAGGTTAGGTTAGGTTATTTTGTTATCAGAAGACAGTTTTACCTTTATTAGTTGGTTGGGTTAGGTTATAATGTTATTTTGGAAGACAAGTTGCCTTATTTTGGGAAGATAGCTTGTGATATCTTGTAAGATAGGTTTTTTTTTTTTTTTGGAAAACAGGTGTTGTTTTTTTTGGAAAATAGGTGTTTTTTTTGGAAAACAGGTTCTGTTTTTTTGGAAGGTTGTAAATGTTACAAGTTGTTGGAAAGAACAGGTCCATTTTGTACATATTAATGCATTACCAAAATGTCACATTGTATGCAAATTAAATAGCCATCATGCTCATTCCCATTACATAGCAAAAGTGTTCATTCCCATTACATAACCAAAAGCACAGTGCTTTCCATACCAAAGGCACAGTGCAGACCCTAACCAAAAGCACACTACATTACACCACAAGCACAGTACCCATACCAAAAGCACAGTGCATCCCTTAAACACCACCTTTCATGCCAATTCCAAAGTCTTCAGCTTCAATCCATCTGATCCACCATTCCCTCCAAGGAAGAACATTGCAATCAGCATCCACGACACCACCAATGCTGCCCAAAGAACCTTCTCCATGCGTCTAGCCTTAGCTATTGAATTCTCCAACTTATCCCGCGATTTTAGCAACCCCAGAATCACAACTTTAGACCTTTCACACATTTCCATATCACACCAAACCCAGAAATCAGAACCTCCTCTGCACAAAACCCACTCTGTAAATTCATATTTGCACCTGCTACAATTCAAAATCTAATATTTTGCATCAAATCCAGCTTTTTACCTTTGCACACACAGCGAATTGCCTCCCAGGATTCAAAATTGTCCACGACGTTAGGATTCTCGCATTCTTACCACACCAACACACCATCGCCTTATGCTCCATTTCTCCTTCGTTTTCTGGGTTAAGGAGCCCATACACTTGAATAAACCTTTGGGCGGCTCACTTCTTCGAAATCGTAGATCTGAGCTCTGAGTTATGGAGATTTAGGATTTAGGTTAAACTGAGGTTGAGGACGAACGACGTCTTTGTGGCTTTGTCTTCGATCTCTAGCTTTGCAACGAGTGCCTAATTTGGGTGCGATTTTCAGGTTTTTTTTGTTTTTGAATTGTCGAAACCCAAAAACTACCCTTCAACTAGCATGCGCGGAATGGTCAATTTGCTGGTGGGGTGGGTCCCAAGGGTGCCACGTTAGCATTTAACGATTGACTGTCTGGTCAACTTAACGGAAAGATGAAATTGGACAAAGTTGAAAACATAAGGGCGTAAATTGATAAAATTGATACCCTGGGGCCTAATTTGAGAATGACCCTAAACCAGTCGGGTGTCTTTTGTCGTTAGCTCATTAAATTACATTTATTTTAGAGAAAAATAATACATAATATTAAGTCTATTTGTTTCTCTAATAATAATATGTTTTAAAATTGAATGTTTTCTTTAAAGCAACCATGCCCTCTTCTTTCTCTGAAAAACCTGCTCTCCTTGAAACTTTTTTTTTTGGATGAGAAAAGGGGGTTAAAGAACCCCAAAGGAAAAAACACACAGATTACACAACATTTATCAAACGGGTCTTAGCAACCCCCAGCGAATCATCAGTCAACAGGTTGCCAATCCAAACAGGGCTATCATCAAGGTACCAATACCCCATGTCAAGGTTGTGACTCCAAGTAGCTAAACCATCTGCAACAGAATTCCTCTCTCTATAAATGTGTTGAATGTCAACCCTTCTAAACTGGTTCATGATCCTCTTGCAATTACTAACCAGGCCAGCAGTAGGATGAAAATTATCCACCTCAGCATTCTGTATGAGCTTCACAGCAATAGCTGAGTCCATTTCAATAACAACATCATCAACATGTTTTTCCACAGCAAGCTTTAGGCCAAAAAACAAGCCCCATAACTCAGCTTCAAGAATTTTTCCTTTCCCCAAATTGACAGCAAACCCACCAAGCCATTGTCCTAGGTGGTCTCTGAGAACTCCTCCAGCACCAATAGCTCCAATACTTTCTTTGCGGGATCCGTCCACATTTAGTTTAACCACCCCCAAAACAGGGGGAATCCAAGCCAGCATGACATGCACCCTATCAATATTATTCTGGATGGCAGCAGTAGCTTTAATCCATTCCTTAGCATCAGACAAAATTATTTCTCGCATATTATAAGGTAGCGGTGCTTCATTTTTAAAGATAAACTCATTCCTCCATTTCCATATGTGCCAGCAGATGAACACAAATAAAATTTTCCAAGGGATTTGAGAGGATTGTACCTTAGAGCACAGGTTGTTTAAAAGCCAAGGGTGTAACTCAGCTTGGTAGAAGGAGTCAAGAATATTAACAATAAATAAATTCCACACTCTTCTTGCTCTAGGGCAGTCCCGCAGGATATGCATGGTTGATTCAATAGGCCACTCACAGATGTTACAATCCGGATTTGCAGTTAAATGCCTGTGAGTACGCTGTTCATTCGACAAAATTTTTTCCTGGAAAACCAACCAGAAGAAAATTTGAATCTTGGGAGGGATTCTGAGTTTCCATAGCACTTTCCACCAAGGATGTAACCACTCTGTCCCTTTGAAAAGTAAGTTGTACGCCGACTTGACAGAGAACAACCCATTAGGAGTAGGTTTCCAGATTTGGCAGTCCTTTAACCGCCCCCCAAAGTCAGCAGGACAATTTATAATTTTCTGGACCCAATCCTCAGGTAGCACACTTTGTAGCTTTTCTACATCCCACCAGCCATTAGTAAAGAAATCTGAGACAGCAACATTCAAATCTCTATCAGGAGTAGCATCCACATGGTAGATAAGAGCTTCATCGCATAACCATTTGTCTTTCCAAAAGTTGACACGATCTCCTTTTCCAAGCCTCCAGGTCAATCCTTTATCAAGAATTTGAGCACCAAATAAAATCCCCTTCCACGTGGGAGAGCAGTTTTTCGTAGGAGTCAAAGGAGGTTCACAAAAGGAATGACCCTTTAAGTATTTTTTTCTCAAAAATCTGAGACCACAAGCCCTCCTCCTTCTTCAATAATCTCCAGGCACTTTTAGCTAGAAGGGCTTGGTTCATATGATGAGTTTTCTTGAAGCCAAGACCACCATGGCTCTTAGGTCTACTTGCAATGTCCCACTGACATAGATGAATTTTCTGTTTCTTGTCACTGCCTCCCCAAAAAAAATTCCGATTTAATCTATCAAGATCCCCACAAATACTCATAGGCAATTTGACAGTTTGCATAGCATAAATAGGAATAGCAGAGGTGACAGCTTGGATTAGAGTTGCTCTTCCTGCAATAGAAAGTACTTTACTTTTCCAGGATGCAAGTTTAGCGTGCATTTTCTCCACAAGCTTGCAGTAGGTGGCCTTATTCACCCTAGTGTGCAACAGAGGCATCCCCAAGTACTTGCCTAAATTATTTGTGAGAGGTGACCCAGAAATAAAACTGATTTCAGCCGCTAACTCCTTATTAGTATTCGGGGAACAGTAGATAGCTGATTTCTCAAAATTGACAATTTGGCCCGAGGCTTTGCAGAAAATCTCAAGGCATTGTTTCATGACTCTAGCCTGCTGCGTGCTCGCTTCAGCAAAAAGAATCAAGTCGTCGGCGAAGAACAAATGGGATACAGCAGGCCCAGTTCGAGCAGAATTTACTGGTTTCCAAGTACGCTTCTCTACAGCATCTACAATGAGATGTGATAGTTTTTCAATACAAAGGACAAAGAGATAAGGTGAGAGGGGGTCACCTTGTCGAATACCATTTTTAGGAGTGAAGGTCTCAGTGAGTTCCCCATTTACACACACTTGATAAGTGACAGAAGAGACACACTGAAGGATCAAAAGAATCAGATTAGGTGGAAGCCCAATTTCATTAAGAACCATTTCGATGAAACTCCAACTAAGTCTGTCATAGGCTTTAGACAGATCGATCTTCCACGCTATTAAGCCTTTTTTGCCCTTAGTGTGCCTGAATTTATGCATGAGTTCTTGAGCAATCAGAATGTTGTCAGTAATATGTCTCCCAGGAACAAAGCTAACTTGATGAGGGCTTATGAGCTTTGGCAGAATAGGCCTCAATCTAGCAACAATCACTTTAGAAATAACCTTATAGAGAGTGCAGCAAAGGCTAATGGGTCTAAAATGCGTCATAAGCACAGGATTTTCTAGTTTAGGAATAAGGGTTATCAAGGTAGCATTCAAACCTGTGGGAATTCTGCAGTCACTGAAGGCTTGGGCGACCATCTTATAGATATCCTCACCACACAACTTCCACTGATTTTGATAGAAGCAAGCAGGGAACCCATCTACACCCGGGGTTTTCAGGCCACCAATGTTGAAAAGGCTATCCTTGACGTCGCTGATATCAATATTAGCCCCCAAAGAAGCTAGATCATTCTCCATAATGCTGGGAAATAAATTAGGCATAGTGGGTAAGTTGTAATCCCGGTGGTTCTCAGAGAAAAGGTCAAGGAAATAATTCACAGCAAGGTCTTTTATACCATTAGCATCCTCCACCCAAATACCATTATCCATCTTTAATTTTTCAATTCTGTTTTTTCTTCTTCTGATGATGGTAGTTAAGTGGAAAAACTTGGTGTTTCGGTCCCCTTCTTGCAGCCATTTCACTCTTGATTTCTGCTGCCAGAATAAAGCCTCTTGTTCCAAGACTGCATTATAGTCCCCAATTAGAGAATTTTCCAAAAGGCTGAGGTAAGGATTAGGCATGTGACACAAAGCTTTTTGGATACCATTGAGTCTAGCAAGGAGCTCGGCTTTCCTTTGCTTCAAATGGCCAAACACAGTATGGTTCCAAAGTTTGAGGGGCTCCACCAGACTACAAGATTTCTCCAAAGCAGACCCAGCATATTCTTTCCACAGTCGAGAAATAAAATCACGAAAATGATCATGCTTTAGCCACATAGCTTCAAATCTGAAAGGCCTAGAGCTGGGGCAGGACGCAATTCGCGATTTGAGGCAGATTTTAATAGGACAGTGGTCAGACTTGGTCTTCGGGAGGTGGTGCACAAAAGCTTCAGCAAAATACCGCCTCCATTGAATGTTGCAAATACCTCTATCAATTCTTTCAAAGACCCTTTTGTTGCTCCAAGTAAATTTGGGTCCAGAAAAACCTAAGTCGATCATATCATTTTCATCAAACCACTTTCTAAAACCCTTGAGTCTGCATAAAGGAGATCCCCCTGCTTTATCATCTAGGTGAAGCATATCATTAAAATCACCAGCAACAAGCCAAGGCATTTGGTGGCAGCTGGCAATAAAATTGAGATAATCCCACAATTTATCCCTTTTGGTAATGCAAGGACTAGCAACCATTAACAAAGTTTCCACTTCCTTCTTTTCGGCAAAATTCGATTGCGCTTCCTTTTCTTCGTCTTCAGGCAGCTTAGTATAACATTCAGAACGATAATGTCCAAATTTATGACATCTAAAGCACTCTACCTTTGATTTGTCAAAATATTGATCTCGATCTCCCCTTCCTCTACCTCTACCTCTACCCCTTCCTCTAAAGTTTGAGAAATGAGTAGAGATAGAAGCCTTTAAAGCTTGCTCCTCTGAAGTTGAACTTCGGTTCATCTTCTGTTCATGGACCAGCAAGGAGCTTTGCAGTTCATCAAGAGAAAAAACATCTATATCTTTGGATTCTTCAATGGAACACACAACATAATCAAATTTTGGTGTGAGGGAACGCAATATCTTTTCCACAATGGTGACATCTCCCATCTTCTCACCATGAAATCGCATTTTGTTGCTGATCTCCATAGTCCTGGCACAATAACTGGTGACAGATTCCCCATCCTTCATTTGTAGAGTCTCAAAATCTCTTCGCAAAGCTTGAAGCTGTGCACGCTTCACTCTAGCAGAGCCTTGATATTTTTTCTTCATGGAATCCCAAATATCTTTGGAAGTTTCTTTGCTAAGAATTGTTTCCAAGATAGAACGATCAATTGCCTGAAAAAGATAATTTTTTGCCTTCAAATCTTTGAGCTTTCTCCCTTCCAACTCTGTTTTCTGGACATCTGTCAAGACTGTATCTGTTGCTGGTGCTTGAATTCCAGATTCAACGATCGGCCAATACTCTTTTGACCGTAGAAAGTTCTCCATTAGCATACTCCAATGGTCATAGTGACCATCAAAGCGTGGAATCGCAGGTTGCACAAAGTTGTTTTCAGACGCCATGTAGTCTTGTTGCTACAAGATGAAAGCTTGTTGCTTTTTCAAACCAGGCCCCAGTGGGGGGCTCTGATACCACTGATACAACGATAAGGAAAAACAAAAAGAGACGTATTGGAATGATAAAGCTCTGTATTTCGTTGATTAAACTGAATGGGAAAATTACAACTTAAATAAGAAAACAAGTCTGCTGCTGCAAGCAACATAACATCCACTTAGCAGATTTTGTGGAACTACATACCACGACTCCAGCATGAAAAATGAACCTGACCATGATTCCTAAAACTTAGGGATTCTCCTGTAGACTAGGTAAACAAGACTCCTAACTACATACAACCACTTTATTGAAACATAAATAATCTAAAGATAAATCTTAACAGTACTTGCCTAAATTATTTGTGAGAGGTGAGCCAGAAATAAAACTGATTTCAGCCGCTAACTCCTTATTAGTATTCGGGAACAGTAGATAGCTGTGATCGGTTCATAATTGTATATTATTTTGTACCCTTCTAGCTTATGATTTGGCTATGTGTTTGAGTTAAACTTGTGCTTTT